AGTGAAAATAAAACGAGGTCAACATAGCTGGACAGCAAAGAGTAACACAATTTTACATCCATTTAAATACATGGCTGTGGGTTGAGATGGAGTGAAATAGAGAGCCGTTTACCATATTACTTGTAAAATGTTATTCATGTCTGATAGGAGGCAAAAAGGGACAGTTTTATGTTACAGAGATGGCTTTGACACAGTATTTTGGTTGGCATCAACACACTGCATTGTACTGAAATGAAATATACCATCGACTTTCTCCGTAATGAAAGAGCTTTCTTTCCTATAATGAAGTGTTTCTCAACACTGGTCCTTGAGGACCACTGTCCTGCCTGTTTTCCAAGTATCCATGCTCCAGCACACCTGATTCCAATGAACAGGACAGCTCTTCAGCTCTTTGAGCTCTGAAGATGGTTGATGAAGACCCATTCACTTGAAGCATGTCTGCTGGAACTGGGAAACTTGGAAAGCTTGCAAGACATTGGTCCTTGAGGACTGGGGTTGAGAAAAACTGCTCTTTTGAGATCCATCCATCCATTTTCCACCGCTTATCTAGGGTCGGGCAGCAGCCGAAGTGGGGAAACCCAGACTTCGCACTCCCCCGCCACTTCTTCCAGCTCTTCCAGGGGGGATCCCAAGGTGTTCCCAGGCCAGGCAAGACACATTGTCTCAAACCTGAAGTTTCAGTTTTGAAAACTGACATTCTTGTTTTCCCCTTAAGACACCTCATGAGGATTGTTACATGTCCAGGCGGACTGTTTTTGTTTTCCTCCCCCTCCATTTTTGTTTCCTTCCCAGGTAGCTGGCAGCTGGGAACACTTACCCTGAGTGGCAGGAGGTGGCCAAGTAGCATAAAAGCAGCTCATCTGTAGGCCCAGGGGGTGGCCTTTTGCTGGCAGGACCTGCATTCTTTGGGAGTCTGGATTACCAGTGTGACAGCTTGTTTGGAGGTTTGTGGTGGGATATCGTGGGCTAGGTAATTTAGGGTACGCTGTACACCTTCATCACGCAGGTGAATTTCTGTTAGATACCTTAGGTAAGTAGGTTGGTGCCCCCCTTGTATTATTATTGAATCTTTAATAGCTCAGAGTAGCAGGGTTTTCTTTTCTTTTGCTTTCTTTCAGAGGTATTGCAAGTTAGGCCCTGTTTTGTTTTGCTGATTTCTTTGATTTGGCACAACCTAACGGCCCCCTTCTCCCCCACAGTTGTTGAGCCTTCTTTCTTTTTTTGGAGACCAAATTAACCTTATTTTTTTTGCACTTTACAAAGACTCTGCTTTATTAAGGGTGCCAAGTTCTCTCCTCCCTTCCATTGGTGGGGCAGGGGATGTAACAAGGATTTGGTCATCTGTTCTATCAAATGCCCCAGGAATTGTATTTATTGTTGTTTTAGCTGCACCACAGGGTGCTAGATGGAAGCTATCTCAGGTGTCAGAGCAAGAGTCAGGGTCCGTCTCAGGGGTAAATCACAGGGCTAAAAGTGAAAAACCATATGCAATCACATCATTTTAGAATTCACACTTACAATGCAAGGTGTTTCTTTACTTGGAAACCAAAGTATATCAGGGCTGGGCTCTTCACAGACCAAACCTCTCTCAGGGTCTCAGTGGGCCAAGAGCCCTGAGATCTGGTTGTGATGGGCATTATCTCTTTCGCTAGGTCCGCCTCTTCAAAGGAGGACTGGTTATAACCAAGTCCTATTGGCCAGTTACCTGTGGGCATAAACAAGCCAGGTCCTAATACATGTAGATAACAGTGGAATGTGGTAACAAAGTGTGTGTTTATATGTGTTGACCTAAACACATGGATCTAATGCAAATTAAAGAAAGAGAAAGAGGAGAGAGTCTGTGGTCACAGCAAGAGATTCAACACAAAATATAGTTATAAAAGAAAATAATAAGTAATTTATATAGATCATGTGAAAGCATACAACGCTAAAGTGAGTAATTATAGCCAAATTCTAACAATGGGGAAAAAGAATGCATTCGAAATCACGGTACAGATGGAACTATTAATTTCCAGAACATTCTCTGTTGGTAAGAGAGTATGCTGAGGTTCACTAACAATATGTCTGCATATCTGTGGCCATATCCATAAATGCACAGCTTGGTGTAATCTGTATCTGATGTGAGTCAAAAATAACAGTTTAAAAATTAAATCACTATCGTAACAGGTGAGTTGTAATGAAAATGATGCATTGCCTTATCCTGAAATGTCTATGAAGTGAGTTGATATGATCTGACGTTCTTATTTTTGCTCAGAATCTCTTGTCTTTGCTGGGACAGTCATGTGGGAAAAATGGGCACCGTGCCAAAGGGTTAGAGGGCATGTGACCTACAAGCGGGACTCAGACTCGTTTTACTCTGCCAGAGTGGATGCTATGAATATGTTGAAATGGAATAAATAATAATAATCAAATTCTGCACATGACACATTCCTGACGCAAGCTGGTCTTGGTTTACCATTTCAACCCTTGGCATTGACCCTACATCGAGGTAACGCCACAAGTGTTGCTAAAGGCCTCCGCAGTTATCCAAAGGTGAATTGTTTACCTTGTACCACTACAACTTCGCTTTGAAAAATAGGTTCGCCAAACACAAGCTCATTGCTAAGTCCTTGTATGGTCTATGGTTTTTCATATTAGTCTCTGGCTTTTTGATGGCACAGATGTATTAAGAACATAATACGTATCTCTCATCCATGTTTTTATTAGGTGGATATTCCAGGACCCCCATTGCTCTGGTTAATAACAACCCAGTCTTCTTCCCATGTACCACATACTGAAAACTGAAGCGCCTAATGTGTGTGTTTTTAACACAGAAGGTACCCTGGAGTTGTCAATTTTGATTGGAGGTTTCCCATGTTGGTACTGGCTTTCTGCTTCACCTATGTACCATTACACAAGAAGACCTGACAACAATATCTGAAGTATTCATGAAGTATGTGCAAAAAAAAAAAAGAAACCTGACCAAATATTAACTTTCAAGTCCTTTTTTTCTTTTTGCCTTTTTCCCCTTAAGATGGCAAGCCATGTAAATGTAAAATGATGTAACACTATGCAAACCACTGTTGACTGAAATTGCTAAATATCAGTGTATTGTTACTGGTTATTTTTGTGGAGCCTCCTGCTCATTTGCCTTAAAGCTGCATGTGCAAAGATCTTGCAATGCGCACTCATTCTTCTCATGCTCGCTTTACATGTGAAGCAAGTTTCTGTCATGGTTGTGATTTCATTGTGAGTGGCCAGTACAGATGTTTCTCCTCTCCTATTCGTTTAACTCTTTTGGGCATGCGTCGTCTCTTCCTCTGCCTGTGATCCTTGCACACACAATCACTAAATTTGGTCTTTGAAAAAATCCCAAAAGTCCCTCCAGCTATTATGGGTGTTTTGGCCTGCCTTTATCCCAAACAGATTTTTTTTTTTTTGGAAACTTTACACTTGATTCAATTGAAAACTATGTTGAACATTGGCTTCAATATACAACACGATCTCCACTAAATGACTAAATGAGATTCGAGTGTTTGTGTCCCGGCTGAAAACATGAGCAGACACCTGTTCAGCCAAATAAAATCAACTTCCTGTGACAACCCAGCCATTTTACCTTTGAGCTCCAATTAACTCTTTACAGATTTAATGGATAATTTGTCTAGCTCTGTTTCCCCCCTCGTCTCTCTGGGACTTTTGAACAGGACATATTCATTGTTGAAATGCGCCAAATCCAGCACTGATTTCATGGTTAATGAACCTCTCTTTTCCCTTGTGCTCATTTCCCATTCACTATCATCTTTTGTGTTTGGGATCTTCCACAGTTTTCAGATCAGAGTGTGTTTCTGCATGTGTTTTAAAGGTTTGCCGCATTGTGTTGGGACACTGCTGTTAGCTTTTAATCCCATTCCTCAATTTCCTTTGACAGAGAAGCAGCATGAGCACAAAGAGCAGTCAATGTGGCAGAGATGGCATGAATGCAGCAAAATAACACAGAGAATCTTACAGAGGTGAGTGGCCAACACCTTCACAGCATTTACATTGAGCAGAAACTTGAACTGAATTGAAGACTTCAAATGTGCAGATATGTCAGCTCAAGATGTACTGCTGAGTTTTGGGATCTTATCTAGATAATAAAAAAAAAAGGAAAATGATTTTAAGTGGAATATTAGCATTAGTATGCATTTAAAACCAAATACTTTTGTTGTCCTGTATGTAAATGTATGTACAGTATGTATTTATTTAATCATTTAATTATTTATTTGTTTTTGTGTGGAATTTCTCTTTTTTTTCTGTGTGTTTGTTATAGTTTTTGTCAGTTGAGTCATCAATCTTATTTGCAGTTTTTGATGTTTTCATCTGCCTAATTTATCTTTAGTGGTCATCTGGTCTTGTTACTGTATTAATCATTGAATTGTAATAAAATGTGTCTCTTTGTAGTATTCTTTGTTAAGTATTACATAAGTCAGTTATATAGGAACACATTGATGTCTCTTGAGGTACTTTTTTTACTTATGTAATCTAAATGGCTTGAACAGGACCCCAAGGTTCTGACGGGTACAAGTGGTAAATGGACAAACCACAAGGTTACAAAAAACAGGACCTTTTGTGTTTATCGCCGCAGTGATATGTATGTCTTTTCTTCTTTTTTCTTTCTGACATTTATATACAGTAGAACCTCTACTTACAATTTCCTAAACATACACATTTTCCAACATACAAAGTAAAATTCGGAAAATTTGAACCAACATACAGATATTTTAACATATGAAGTATGTCCCAGAACAAATTAAATTTGTATGTAGAGGTTCTACTGTGTATATACTGTATATATATATATATATATAAAACATTGGGCAGTGTTGTTTCATCCAAGTATAAAAAGGTAGTCTGAATAAAAAGGTTGAAATTCAGTAAAATATTGTAAACATGTTAAAAGCTGTTTAAATAATATATATTATGTTTGTTTTATTTGAATGGTATTGTGGTTGTGAAAACTGTATGACCCAGCATCTATGTGGTTAATAGAGATGGGCCTGAACGTCACATCTGAGGTGTTTGGGTGCGGACAGGACCAGAGGAGACAGACTGCAAGGGGGAAGAGACAAGAAGCACGTGGCAAATCGTAACGAAAATAGAAAAATATTGAGCAGAGGCTTGTGACCAAGGTGGTGGAGGAGTACAACCTACATTCTCCAGAGGACTAAGTGGTGTCTTTTCTGTTGTTTGAGTGAACTACTCAACCCGAGATGAGAGGACAACGTGAAGCTAGCAGCTAACTTATGCGCTAGTGGATTACCCTGACTTTGTTAAGCTAGCTGCAAGCTAACCGTGTTAGCTTGCGCGCGACTTCAGCAGTGAGTCTTCATTTCCTCAGGATGGATCTTCACCTCAACTAGCTTCTTCTCCTGCCATCCACCCTTGTGTTTTGAGGTTTTTAACGAACTCAAGCTACACCCATGCCTGCACCGAATTTTAAAGGGGTGCCCATTTTGTTTTAAAGTTAAGTTTTAAAGCTTTAGTAATAAGGTGTGTGGGCCCACAAATTGTTTCGTTATTTGAGTATATTTGTGGCACAGAGTTTACCTAAAGAAAAGAGAGGTAATTTATTTAAAATTGTCTAAATACAAAAAAAATAAAAGCATTCAAGTAAACAACTATAAAACTACTACATTACAAATTAATCATATTAATATCAAATACAATATTACACACACATTACAATTTTAATTTTTTTTTAAATATTTTTTATTTTAATTTCATAGCATATCCACTGTGGAGGACAACATGATGATTTGCATGGGAAAATAAAAAAGGCTTTAGAAAATAAAATTATAAAAAAAGATTATCCCTTGAAAGTGATACTTACCCAGGAACTTTGACATTTGATAAAAACAAATACAATTCTGTAACATTATTCTGTTGTTTGTTGCTTGCAACAGGAAAAATACATGTATTTAGTTCAACAGTAAATTATAAGACATGGAACTAAGCAGTTCAGTCTTTCATCTTCCTCTGGATATTTTAGCTGTGATAATCCTGGAAGCTTCTTTTTTTTTTGGTTATGCAGAGGAACATCTTTTCCTTTGGTGCACCTCATGTATGTCTTGTCGTTGCAGCCCTTGATCCTGCATCTTTCCGCATGTTTTATGTCCATCATCTCTGGCATGTGTATGGCTCCTACTCTGCGTACAGATGGCTCTGGTTGTGGAATCCTTGTTTTGCTTGGTGGTCGATACTCTTCCTCACTGTCTTCACTGCTGTCATCAAATGCTGGACTCTCCATTGGCTCTTCAGCCAGGTGCAGTTTTAAGTCCAGGTACCGCTCTGTGTTTTTAGCTGTTCGATTCAGCGCTGTACTGTCAGAGCTGTACTGGATCCAAGCATTTGTGATGGCAACATCAAAGAAATGCGTCACAACACGTGACGTCCACTTCTTCGTCCTGGTTGACATGCGGTAGAAGCTCAGTATTCAGACACAAAGGTCTACGCCACCCATGTTGTCATTATATTCTCTGATTACTGCTGGCCGTCGCACCTGGACATGATGTTTGTCTTTGTTGGACCATCTGCTACAGATATCCTCTGGATCTCTTCCATAGACAGTGAAAGCCATCAGAACTGGTTTATTATCGAACCCTTTCGTCAGCGCCAACTCTGGCTCCCTCCTAACCAACATCACTGAAGCCCCTCTCCCTTCCTTTCTTAGCTGGCGTGTCTTTGGAACTCTCTTCTTCATAATAGTCTCAAGTGCTGGAAGACCCTTTGACAGCAAAGTGTCCATGAGATCGATTGTTGTGAAGTATCGATTGAAGAACACATAAGTTCCTGGAGGAACAGACTCGACCATTCGCAAGACTTCTGCAGCTCCAACTCCCAGTCTTTGGCCCCTGAATATGTGTTCTTGCCCTCATAAACCTCAAAGTCAAGGATGAGACCGTTTGGTGAGGCAAGCACAAAGACCTTCAGGTCAGTAGGGTTTGGCTTTCCTGGCACATACAGCCTGCGAATGGGATGATTTGCTCAGCAATGCACACTTTGTCACTCCTTGGAAGGCTGAGACAACCTTGCCTCACGCGGTCAAGCAATGGTCTTACTCTCCAAAGAATGTCTGACTTCTTTGTCTCTTCAGTCACATCCAGGTCATTGACAATCTAAAGTGAGCTTCTTACCTTGTAGAACCTGTCCCTTGTCATCTTCTTGCTAATGACTGGAACTGGTACCCAAAACATTTTCACTCTGGGATAGCCAAGGCAGGCCATGTGGACTGATATGCCAAAGAATATTTGATTTCTTGGGCAGTAGTATTCAGTGACACTCTTGTAGTTAGCAGCTGTCTTTGATTTGTAAAAGCTGCCATAACTTCAAAGATTTTGTCATTGATGTACTGTGAAAAGTACTGGATTGGACTCCAGTATTCACAGATTTTAGGGTCATCGTGATAGGCAGGAAACCCAGGTAGCACAGGTGTGACTCTATTATAATGGCATGGGATCGGAAAAAAAAATGTTACACATCAATTTTGATTAATGCCATAATTTCTGTCATGGCTGTAATATTGACCAATCTCACGAGCATTTGTTTGTTATATGGACTACAAATTCTACAACAATCTACAGTAACATGATGATAAAATTGAATACATTAACCTGAAACTAAATAAAACATATAAGTTTGTTCTGGCCCACAGAAAACATTAAAACATGTAATTTTGCACATTCAGGACAAAAAGTGCAATGTCATTTCAAAATTAACCGTGTCCCATATTTGCTTGGGGTAAGTCATTCTTTGCTGTATGTACCGTTTTATAGCCAATCCTGGCACCATCACCTGCCATCAGTTGACTTGTTGTTTGTTTTGTTCTTTTAGAACAGTGTAATAAATTATTTCTATGCATTTCTTGCTTTGCCTCTGGCCCATTTTGTTATGTGCGTTGGTGATATCAAATTTCAGATGATTGTATTTCTGTAGAAGTGACTGCTCCTGGACTTTATATTTCCTCTATACCTAAGAGTAAAGCGTTGAGATAAGCTGTGAAGTGCACTGTCATTTAAGATAAGGCAAAAGGCAGGTCCGCTCATATCCTAGATCCTCAGAAGGAAGAAGCAAGTGTTGGTGATATGAAAGATGAAAACAATGCCATGAAATTACCAAATGACAGGTAGAAGTTATGCACATTTGCTTTTCACATTCTCTTCATTTTGTTCCATAGCCTGTTCAATGTTGCCCCTTCTTCCTCCCTCTCTCCCCATCTATTTTTTATCGGGTCACATCTTCTAGCTACCATTGCTGTGTGTTTGTAAAAGAGGTCACTCCTTATAAAGCACACATTAGATCCCCCTCTGACTTCTGTAATTACATCTGACGGAGTGAATGACTTTACAGTTATTTTCTTTTATAGTGGTACTTCTCCCAGCAATGCTTTGGATGCTATCAGGGACCATGCTGGTGTTGCAACTGTTTCTTAGCGTCTCAATGGGCCTTTTAAAAGTGATTCATGGTTCCATCCCTCCAGCATTATTCAGTGAACTCCCAGCTCTCCTCTGTTATCTTCTGTTTCCAAATTCACTGCTGGCGTTGGATGAAAAAGCTCCCTGGTTCTCTGTAATCCCAGGTTCAAATGCAGCCAAATCATATTTGTTAAGGTGATACAAATTATTCACTGTACAAAAAGCCATGACAGCATATAACATTTGAAGATACTGAAGAAGTCCAGAGTGCAGACATTTTTCTTTAATAAACAAAACAAGTACTGTATGTGTTTTGTTTAAAACACTTTATATACTTTCTTTTTCCAAACTTCAATTTATTTCAATATTGGTTCATGCTGCTTTACAGTATATGATGGTGTGTGTATGGGCAAACTTATTATGATCTATATTAAACAGCCTTGCTGTACCATATCAAACGATTAAATCAATCTTGTAAACTTTATTAAGGGCTTGCAAATTACATGCTATATAACTGGTAAACCGGGGCGATGTAAACTGGGATAAATTGATGTTTACATAGATATTTCCAGCAGAGGGGCATCTGGAAAACATCTGTCTGATGGTTAATCAGTATAAAGGTTTGAGCTGACCAGCCACTGAAGGGACTGCTCTCCACATACTGGCTACCACCTTGGAGCAGATGTTAGGAGTTATATAGCGTAAACAATGAGAGAAGGTGAGTGGGGTATCTAGGACATGGAAATATATCAATCTCAAATGTCTTACATCGTAGCATATTTGTGATGTGTGTCAAATGCAATGTTTTTTTGTTTTTTTTTTAGTTCTAGCAACAAATAAATATACAGGAAAGGAATAAGAAAACATTTCAGACATCTATAACCAGGGTAAAGCATCCAAACCAGTTAAATTCAACAATGTAATATGATGTGACATTCAAATAGAGACATTTAACTCTTACGACATCTTAACTGAATTAATGAGGTGCAATTGAATTGAGTAAAACCAATTCTGATATTCTGTAAGTTGAAAGTGAAACGTTGCTATTCAATTCTGACTAATTTACAACAGTATCAAATTATTGTGTCTTCAAAGAGCGGATGTGGATTAGCTTTGATTTGCCCCAGAAATCTCTAATTTAATCTCTATCCTCTGAAAGTCCTGCTTAAAAATTGGACTACTGACCGGCATTGTACAAAGAATGAAGATATACTTTGAGGGAATATAAGAGAGGCTTCAGGTAGGAATTGAATTATGAAACTAGCCAGAGCGTGGAATATATAGAGCAAATTCTTTGACCACAGTGCACTGAGCCGTTGTTGCTGTCATTCATATGAGGAATAAAGAGGAGACATGTGGCTCACCTTGAAAAATATGGTTTGAAATGATAAATGCCCCCATCTGGTGCAGATGTTTCAAAGAACAGAGCCGGACCTTTTAGTAACATGAGCTATTTTAGGCCATGCTAGTAAGCTATCACTTCCTGCTTTGGAATGATGTTTTTTTCTTGAGCAACAAACCAGTACCAGTATTACTACCTAACTAATTTTAATCTATAGTTTTGTTTTATATTTTCAAATATAATTCTTTGCAATTACCTCAGTGACTCATAACTGAATTTTGTAGCATGTTCTTGCTTTTTTGTTCTTAACTTTCTTAACATTCCATATTTGAAAAAAATAAAGATGCATCCTTAACCTTTCATCCACTCCTGCCACATCACACCTTGAAACACAAAGGTGTGACATGTAAAATCTTTATCAATTTGTCCTTACCATCACTTGTTTTTATAGTCTTACACTGTCTTCTATAGACAGTGTCCCAGACAGTGTCTTTTTAAATTATGATGTTCTTCCAAATCAATAGAAAAAAAGAAAAAAAAAAAATCTGAGGTTTGAGAGGACCAAAAGGGATACACAATATTTATATATCAACATGATTTACAAGTAAACAAGATTTTACAATAACAGTAATGATACGAGTCAACTGGAGGTGGAGATTTTCAGGCTGGTTGAGAGCAGTTTATTAGACACAACAGAGACAAAAGGAAAGAGGTCGGTAGGAGAAGGAAGTTAAAGACAGGTATTTTTAGTGATTAGCTGTCGTACTCACAGAAAAGTAAAGCTTTTAAGACCTTCTGAAAGGTGAGATGGGGACCCTTGCTTTTGTGGAATTTGATAGGTCATTCCAGTAATGGAGAACCAGGCATGAGAATAATCCGGAGTGCTGCACAAATGGGGGTGGCGACACCAGACACCAGACTGAACTGAGGTGTCACCCGGGTCTGTAGGACAGTGTTGATATACAGTGGGTACGGAAAATATCCAGACCCCCTTTAAATTTTTTCACTCTTATTTTTATTGCAGCCATTTGCTAAAATCCAAAAAGGTTATTTAATTTTCATTAATGTACACTCAGCACCTCGTCTTGGTAGAAAAAACTAAATGAAGAAATGTCTGCAAACTTATGTCTTTTAAAAATGGAATATCAAATGGTCATAAGTATTCAGACCATTTGCTGTGACACTCATATTTAATTCACACTCTGTCCATTTCTTCTGATCCTCCTTGAGATGGTTCCGCTCCCTCATTGGAACCAGCTGTGTTTAATTAAACTGATTGGACTTGATTAGGAAAGGCAAACACCTGTCTATACAAGACCTTACAGCTCACAGTGTCTGTAAGAGCAGACGAGAATCATGAGGGCGAAGGAACCACCCAAGGAGCTCAAGGCACAGTTCTGGCCAAGGTTGCAAAAGAATTTCTGCAGCAGTCAAGGTTCCTAAGAGCCCGGTGGCCTCCATAATCCTCAAATGGAAGAAGTTTGGGACCACCAGAACTCTTCCTAGACCTGGACCGTCCAGCCAAACCGAGCAATCGTGGGAGAAGAGCCTCGGTGAAAGAGGTGAAGAAGAACCCAAAGATCATTGAGCCTGAGCTCCAGAGATGCAGTAAGGAGATGGGAGAAAGCTCCAAAAAGTCAACTGTCCCTGCAGAGCTCCACC